CGAACACACTGATTGCCGACTTAAGCCACTTAATTGATAGAAAATGCTCAGTTACGTTCCTCTATTAAGAGGAAGAGTAAACAGCGTACTCAAAATCTTTCAATACCACTTCCGAGGCAAATGGACGACAATTTACCGTAGGTACGGTAACTAAGCGTCTATTTAGTATTGATCCATGCATATATTTAGCGATATATATATACCGCTACAGATTAAGCGAACAGTACCCTGCGAGCAGAGGTTTCTCCGCCCTTGCATGGCTTTTAGCGTCAACGAAGTCATTCGCGTGTCTTGTCTGTCGCGTTGTTGGTTTGTTAACCCCCCGGGGGTAAACAAAACAACTACGCGACAGACAAGACACGCGAATGACTTCGTAAACGCTAAAAGCCATGCAAGAGAGAAATCTCTGCTCGCAGGGTAAGCAAACGGTAAATACAGTACACGTTTACCATAAAATTACATCAGTTACACAGCCAGATCTCCACAGATTGTGTGAACCCATGTCGGTGATTTTACAGACCATCAAGAATCAGCTGAAGAATGTCAGTAAAATCGTAGGCAACTTAAAAGTTTCTAGACAAGAAGAGATTCACCTGCTAAAACATCCAGAGGGAAACACAATTGCAAACAAGTGTAACACACGCGCTCACGATGGTTCGACTTGAAATGGAAATAGGCGTGCATGTGTCTCTTCGTTTGCCCTCTCTGTGCCGTTGATTCGCCGCAGTTTTTGTTCACCGAAAGCTTAAATTGTTCGTAGAGTAACTAAGCCATTCTTTGCACTCATTACTTATAAACACTGGCTTACTTCGTAGCGTTTAGCCGGACAACGATGATCAGAGGAGGCTTTTGACTGCATGATCAACTGGACGTTTATTTTACATCCGTTTCAGTACTTTATGTTGCCGTTTGATGAGCATGATGTAGAAAGCGATTAAGTGGATGAATCCTGCGCAAGGCTTGTCATTTCACAAGCTGAAGTCAGTACATGAAGAGTCAAGAATATACTTCAAGTTCTCTCCACTCACTTTCTTTCAATTTAGCTGAGGCAAATGTGAAGAATGATTAACTGGAAACTGATGAGCAGATCCAAAGCTGTGACTTGCTGTTAGACAGTTTCAAGTTATTCTAGTAATCATTAGATTTATATATACTGAATAATTAGATAAGGAAAAAAGACTGAAACATGCGACTCTAACATATCTTTCGCTCAGTGTTCCGCAAAATTACAACCGAGTTTATTGCCATAATTTTAAAAGTTGTATCCTCCATCATCGAGTATAATAAACTATAGTCTACTAATTGCCGCAGTTCAATTGACGTGTGGCGTGTTGCAAGGGAAAACCGGCATCATTTGAGTTCTAGTAAAATGAATTCCACCTCGCCATCATGGCTTGCAGTTTCAGTGACACGAACGCAGCCAGTTAATATTTTCTTGATCCTGCCTGTTCTGGCTATTTTGTGTATATGTTCCACAACCCCTAACATTTCATGAAGTTTGTCGTTATCTTCAGTGCATTGAATGGCTGAAAAAAATATATCAAACGACAGCAGTGATTAACTCTTCTATAGAGAAATAGAAAATATAAACTCATCAGTATTAGACTCGTTCTGGTAAGTCTAATTCTAGAACACTGATTGCACATAATATGGAAAATGGCGAACACATGTTCTATAAATGCAAGAAAAACAATTCAATATTTCGAGTTAAACAGCGGACAATATTTTATTTCTCTGAGTCGCAGAAACCGCTTTATTCCGAAGCGGAGCAGATCGAGTCTGTTCCCAGTAAACGTGGACGTTACCTAAGGCTGGGATATGGAATTGGGTGGCAGAACAAAGAAAATGCATTTATTTCAAGGCAGACTCCGCGGTAGCTTATTTTCGTTGAGCTGTGAAGTATTCATTCCTTTTAAACGCGCAAATCAGACATTGCTGAGATGGGTTAGTTTATGCGCTCTTATTTGTCACTATGATTTACTCTCATTGCCATGGGTGGACGCTGGCGAAAGTTAGCAGGCACTCAAACCAGTAAGTCAATTTTACTCTTGTGTTTATATTTCTTTTTGCGACAGAGTTTGTAAGGGTTTTTATCTATACCCTTCGAGTAAGGATCATTAAAAAGCCTTTGACAATCTACGTTGAGAAAGAAATACTGTATTTAGCGAAAAACCCTCTTTTTAAAGAAAATTAAGCGCCTACCTGACAACACACACGTCAATTCGCTACAACCTGCAAGCAAATTTACATGCTTTTTGCTCTTTTAGTTATGTTTATAAAAGAAATGGCAGACACCAAAGCTGTGATGTGCAACCATCAAGATACGGACCAGAGGTTGCTAAATACTCAAACAACTTGAGCGACAATCCTTGTCACATTAAGTTGGGACACCCAGTGCAGCACCCATGTTGCGATAAAACGTTGTGCTTCTTCCCTCCCAGTAATGAATGTTTTGCTTCTATGATGCCAACTAGAAAAAAACAACCTGATTGAGGAGGCAGAAAATATCAGTACTGTCCCAACTAATGTGACGAGTATTGTAGCTATGCGTCTCGACCAACGTTTACGCTTCCTTCATACTGAGCCACCTCCCGCGGGCATCCTTAACTCGATTTTCGCACGCTGCACGTTCACCATTTTTTAACTGCAGCATCATCTATACTTACATTTCGGTGTTTGGAATAAGCTCCTAATACGACTGCACGCTTTAGTTCTTCCCAGTGAAGAAATAAGACCACGGAAGCAGCACATGCTGTCTGAAGTTATCAACAAGAGGGCGAAAATAAAATGCGCCCTGGACCTGGGGTCCAACTATCTTAAAAGGGCATGGCTGAGAGCACACGGGAGGGGGCTTAAATATTTGCGGTTTTGCAAAATTGTGCGGTATTTCGGTGAATGCTCTGTTGTCTTCGTTATCGCAAACCGTCAAACGGTGTCAGTTCTGATTTCCCATGGTACTCGATGAAACAAAATAAGTTGCGGACACTTCTGCGTTGCTGTGGTTACTTTATGTTTTTAATGGTTAGTTCGTCCTGTAAACACCTCGTAAATGGCTGCAAAATCGAGGTCATTGAGACTACAACAGAGTGCACAACCGGCTGTGTCGCTTTTTTCATTGGGGGGGTGGGGGGGGGGGAAGTGGGGTTTCCGGAACTACCCCCGTAACCCGCCACCGTGCATTCTTTACATCTGCATAACTTGAATAGAGATCTCAGAATCTTGAGGTCAGTCGATCAAAACCAGGTCCGAGATCCTCCTTCCTCAATTATATGGAGCTTCCTAGGTTAGATTAATCATAGGACAAAAATTAAATTGCGATGTCGTCAACTTTTATTATAAATTACGGTGATTCAGTGTTACTTAGTTCCTTTTTGCAGTGTTGCGGTGTTGACAGTCTCCCAATGTCTTGACAATCAGATTTTTGATGTTTTATTCCTGTGTACTGATAAGTCGATACTGCGCAGTGCCACTGTCGATCGACACGCGTACAACACGCGAACTGTAAAGAATTTTTCACATTTTTTGCCAACGTAAGCATCTAAGCAAGGTCAAATAAAAATAGCGTGGGAGAAACAGACTTCTAAACTGACAATCTTGACGTATGGTCTTCAACTTAAAGGTGAGGATTCAGTTTCCTTTCGGCAACTTTTGAAAAGACGATCAGAAAGGGTATATTTATAGGCCATTTTCGAGTTCCCCCAGACGAGGTTAAGTGCTCAGCCATTGATCTTAAAATCCTCATTTCCAAAAGAAAGGTTGTGCACTTGGACTCATTTTGAAAGTAAGGGTTTTTGGAACTGGCAATTGGTCTATTGAAATATAAGGGTTTCCTAGGCAATAGACCATTGTTGGGATAAAATCTAAAAATCATGAACTTTATTTTGCGCGCTGGATCACGGCATGGTTCTCGGTACCTTATTCTTGGTACTTAATTACGTGTTTTGTTTTACGAATAAAAATCCTCGTGAAATGTACCTATGTAAATAATTCAAATCACGGAAAACAACTATTAAAAGAATGTTAAGTAATAACATAATTACAACATGCAACTTCACAAATTAAATACACAAATATTAACTCATTTTATTGCTAAGTTCCAGTTTGTTAAGTAATGATCCGGGTAAGGTGGATAGCAATTTCTTTTGTTATGCAGCAACGGTACGTGCTTTCCCACATGGGAATGTTCTCATTTTTACACAGAGAATGCATAAACCTAATGAAGGCCGTTTATGCAATAAAATGCATTTACACTCCACTTTGAAAGGGTGGTTTTTTTGAGTTAAAAGATTTTGACCAATCACAAGAGTTGAAAACAATAGCCAAGAAAAGTTTACAATTTTACATGTTCCCCACATAGGAATTTTTTGTTATTCAAACTGAGACCAGATTTTGTTATATGGAAGATGGCTGGAAAGTAAGGATGAATATATGTACTGCTTTATGAAGTTTTGTTAACTTTTGCTGTTTGAGCCAATCAGAAGTAAGTACAGACAATAGAAAAGTTAGCACCTTTTTTGCATTCCAACATGTTTGTTGCCGTTGTTGCTATCGTTCTTAACTGGACCGTTTCTTAGTCTGTTGTAAAATAACGTTACACTGTAAGGTCCTGTAAATTTGTCCAGAGGAGAGAATCTAGCTAGGAAATCTTTCAAAATGCCCTTTTTTATAATGGCCTCTTAAAATCACCATGAAAATGTAACCCCGCGAATTATTGTCTCACCAAAATCGCGAAATTCCTAGTACCAATTGAATTAGGTTTGAGAGAAGTGTACGGTGGTAAGAGGAGCTCGCTTTCGAGCTTGCCACCGTTTCAGTTGCTTGCCACTATTTTGGACTGGAAACCTAAGACTGTGGGGAAACCGCAAATAAGCCTGGAATAACCGCCGCTGGCTTTACGCCAAAACATCAAACCGTTGTTAACAGGTGACCAAACAGCCTATTATTTCCTTGACGAACCTTAACCAGGACCCAGCAATACAAAAAAATATATTTTTTCTACAATGAAGCAAGCGGGAAAAGTTATGGTGCATCCTAGCGTTGGGGATCATATATACGTTGTTCGTTCCTTGGGCTATGCTCATCATGGTAGGTTGTTTTCGTATTACGTTAGCGTTCTTTTAAACCAACGACTTATTTCAACATTTGTTATTCAGAATATTAAAAGATTTAGTAGATGTTAGCAAAAAATAAATAATAAAAATACTGAAGTGCCCATTAAGGGAATTGGCTGGGGAACTCAAAAATAGCTCCGGTCCTTTTTTTTGGAACTAAAATGAGTTTCGCTTTCTTTCGGTTTTCATTAAGAACTCACAATACCATGAAGCAATATGGCTCTTGTTTGAAGCTAAGACAGGCTGGATTTTCACAATGACAGTGACTAGGAAATCGAAAAATACCTTTTGTCTTTCGCCGGCGACAATTTTTAAGAGACGAAAGAAGGATGACTAGTTCAACTTACTGAAGCTGAAGAGAAGTCGGCAAAGCAAAAGCGACAAGTATCATTGCCTTATAAACGCAGTAAAATATTTAGCTGAAAGACCATAATATTTTTGTTTGAACTGTATACGGATGACTTTCAACTGAAGGGAGCTTTTGTCAGCTCAGTTGACTCCTAAGAGTCTACCAAAAGAATCTGAATCTCCGTACTGAGGCAACCTTACATATCAACTCGATTGTGAAAGCAATATCGGTGGCAAGAGAGAAGGAGCTAATTCTCTCTTGCGGTAGCAATATTCAGAATATTTTCATTTTTCTATTTCTCACGTACGAATCACCACAGATTCTCAGGCCCACCTGAGGAAAATCTCAGTGAGTTAGACACGTTTCAATATACAAAAACTTAAGAGTTCTCACAAAATAACTACCACTCCGAAAAATTATCGCCACTCTCGAGAAACGGGTTCCTGTATCGCAGAAAGAGGTTGTCTGGTGGTTGATTGTGGGTGTCATAATTAAACAGCGTTGTTCCTTTTATAGGAATCTTTATGGACGATAGTAAAGTTGTACATTTTCAAACACCTCTCGAAACTGGTGAAATGGACAGTTCAGAAATTGTAGAGAGCGACTTATACGACTTCATAGGGCCTAATCACTCTGAATGGTACGTTTATAAATATGGCGCAAGCGATGAAGAATTCAGCAGCAATCCGCGCGGAACATGCACCACAAAACAAAGCGATGACCCTGAAACAGTTCTTAAGCGCGCTCGAGAGGCACTGCGGGAAGGATTTGGACAGTTCAACATCGTGGGAAGTAACTGCGAGGATTTTGCACTGTATTGCAAGACCGGTCAAAGGTGTCAGGTCAGCGGTCAGTATTTGTCAGCTATGCGTAAAATAGAGGCTGCGCGTCAAGCTGCGGCAACTGGGTACAAGAGTCCTATAGTGTATGTAGGATGTGTCTTGGGATGGCTTTCGGCGAAGGATTTTCAAAGTCAAACAAACGCGAACAGCGACATAGCCTCTTCAACGGACAACAAAAATGGACAAGAGGCACCTTTAGATACGGCGCTTTAGAACGGAGAAAAATCTTATTCCACAAGTCATACCTCCACCCGCCGGTTGGCAAAAATGGAGAAAACATTAAGGCCTGTGTGTTAACGAGAGTGTCAATACTAATCAGGTGACAAGACGATCATGGTTAGAGACGATTAGCAGTTGAAAAGTAACCCCCTAACTAAGTGATCAAATTTATTTCCCTCCATCCTAAATAGTCTTTAGGTCATCAAGCAATGAATGTAACAATAGCTTCCCGACTTTTTTTGATTCTGTAGTACCTTTCTTGGACCATGCTTCACTAAACTTTAATTCTTACAAGATTACAGTTATCGGGCGCTTTTTAAGCTGATTCAAACAAATTCTTGCGACTGAGGTGATGAACTTAAAAACAAATGTGTTCAAGCCAGGTTTGGAGAAGGCGTTTTAAACAATTTTACCCATTTGATCCACTAAAACGTTCTACGATTGGTACAGGATTTAATGAAGCCGACTAAAGTAATTGTGGAATTGCACACATTTTAGGCATCCTACCGATGAGCAATTACGACTTTTAGATATTTTAAGCAACAACAATTCACCTTCTGTCGTCTTTGAATTAGAATACTGGGCCAATTTTCTAGGTATATTTTTTGGGGGGCGGCTCGAAGGCTTGACAGGCTTCGAGTGAAGAGCCAGCGAGCCGCCGAGCCACTAAGATATATACCTTTACTTGTTTTTTTTTTTTTTAACTTATCTCTTCTCTACCTCGCTTGATATCTAATACTTATCTTTCTCTGCTTTTGATACTTGTCGTGATCAGCGAGCCACCGAGCCACTATTACAATATGGTCATGTATTCTGTAGTTGCTCCGATTTTTGCTGCCTCATTTCGAAAAAGTGGTAAGCGCCCTTTTCCACTGTAATCGTTTACTGCTTTGACAGTACGTGTTACTTTATAATAGTTACACCTTTTCTCGGTTAAAATAACAGTAATTTGAGATGAAAGAAAACAGCTCCAAAAGCAAAGCTTCTAACGTCCAGATTTCCAGTGTATTTACACAGAGAGCTGTTGACACTAGGGCTCCTTTGGACTTAGTTTCTTCCTGGTGAAGACCCATGGATTCTGTTGAAAATGGATCAACATAGAGTAAATAGTTTGTTTTATTTTTAAAATAAACTGTGGTTATATATTCAGTTAAAGAGACCTTAAGATTCTAAGATGAGGACGACTACGAAAACGAGCTATTCTCAATACTAAGTTGTCCACGCGTGTGAATCAGCGTTGTTTTGGCGGCAAAACGTGATAGCTGTCGTCATTCTACAACGGGAATTAGCGTTGTAGTGACGAAACAAGTTATCAAATGCTAGAGGTTTCATCGTTTTTTCATCGGGAGAGGACGGTTTCTCGGAACAAGTTTTCCATACCAAAGAAAAACTTTTCAAGGACAGCTTCCTCATAGCGTCATTTTAACTTACGTGCGAGACCAAAATGCACATGCACGTGCCAACAAAACTGCTCCAATACGTGGCCACAGGGGAGGTTGGAAGAAAAAGCACCCGAGGAGGGGAGGGGAGGGGAGGGGAGGGGAACCTCAGAATGGTATTTCGGGTGGTTAGCAAAGAAACCTTTCCAGCAGTTATACCTAGAGAAGACAATGCAACACACTAGTTGAGCTGCGATAATGATATGGAACAAATGCACAATTACACCAGGTTCGTGGCAACACTCGCGTCCCGAGCACAAACGTATGCTACGCAGGAAACAAGAACGTCTCGTTCACATTATACTGGATACCTTTTCATGCCGACACGAGAAGCTATCTGGTATGATATGAACAGCAATGGCACAGAGCTGGAACAAGTCGTTCAAACACATCGAAGATCGTGAAGGAGCGGTTGGCTGAGAGGGTTTGGTGAACTAAATCCCAATCCCCACTCCTGAATGTTTACTTCCGTCTCAATGGGTCCTAGCCTTTGCTCACTTCCGTTAAGTTCTTACGTGTAAACAGAAGCCCTACCCGGTATGATTTTGGTGCCGGCGCAAAAGCTATCGGGTATTGTGTGAATACAGCCTTCAGCCATTAACAGCTCTGCACATGAATGACACTTCTGGGTACATTTCTGCGACGAGTCCAATGCACGACTACCGATAATTCTAAATGGGATGTTAGTGATAGAGGACAGGAAGAAGAGCCGAGAAAAATCATCAGCTCCAAGAAAATTTTCCAGTTACATTTGATAAATTGAACAAAACTAATCCAATCTAAACCTACTGCTTTTTTGCCGTTCTCGTTGCGTCGTCGTTGATTAACCTACCTAATATTGAACTGTTATCGGTATTTCAAGCAACTTAAAACGTCCGGAAGGGAAAAAAAGCTACAATCAACTATACATTTAAAGCAAGCAACTCCCTTGTACTCGTGTAACGGCTTCTTCTCGGAGCACATTCTTTAGTTAATACCGACTTTCCAAATGGGTCTTTTGTCAGTCAGCAAAAGCTAGAGCCCGGAAAAAATATTTTTGGTCTTTTGATGACATTAAATTTTCCTTTTTCTTCATAAAGTATACGACGAATGTACGCCCATACGAAGCAGAGGTTTCAATTTCGCGGGAAAACTTACCGCAAAAAAAAAAACTGGTCTGTGAAAACGCGGTTACATACTTTGGCTGTGTTCACGATATACCCGCTCTGCGCCGGCACAAGAACCATACCGTATAGGGTGATTTCAGGGAGATTTCTGTGATGGAGCGAAGCTGCGCGGCGCCGATCTCTAAAGTGGAGAGTCAAATATCGGATAGGTTTTCAAACTATACCAAACAGCTTTTCGTGTCGGCACGAAACGCTGTCCGATAAAGTGTGAACATAGCCTTAGGTTAGTTTGGTAGTTGTTCACTCCGAGTTCATGACAGAGGTTATCTAGCAGACCATTTAAATTAGCTTAACCAGCTTAAGAAAAAATAATTTTCGGCATTGCAAACTAACAAGAGAATCTATTCTTAAGTTTAGAAAATAATTTTAAGCTTAACAATCCAACGACCTTTACATTTTTTGGTCCAATGTTGATTTCTCGATTTAAGTCATTATTTTAGACAAGTACAATGTGTGCTACTTACAGGTCTTCAAAACTGGGTGTAAATCTAACTGCTCTTGCATGGCACGGGCAATTGAATCATGATCAGCCTTTGTATTAGCAAAAATAAACAAAACAATATTAATGAAAAAAATCTGTGCGCACTATATTATGGCTCCGTGAGAAAAGTACGTTTTATTTTCCCGATTCTCCTGTCCAGGGAAAGAAATAGTGCCGAGGGACAGTAAGACTGTGTCCCGAGGGACCAGATAAGTTCTTTGTTAAAAAGCCACAAACAACTTGAAGAACAATACTCAAAGAAATTATCCTTTTAAAATGTGGTATGACTTCATTTAATAAGGACATTTTCCCCAAGCATTCCCATCAGCCACTACCCACACCGTTTGTCTTTCTTTAAGATTATGCAACCTAGCCCAAGATCTCTCGCCCGACTCCGTTACGGACAAAGACAAACCCCTACTTTAAGGGTATTATTTAACCCCTCTACCACCCTTACATGCAGCAAGAGGAAAGTTAATCATCACCAACTCTGTTTGAAGGTGATTCAGGTGCTCAGTACCTTATTGATAAGCCCGCATCGGATCAAGTCGTCGGCCATTTCGCTACCCTTATCTCCTGCAAATGAAAGAAAAAAATATACAACACCGGATTATTGTTGAGTTTTTTTAATGTTTTGAGCCGTTATTCTTATGTTTCACTCAATATGGCGGCAGCCCTCACTGTTTGAATTTTGATAAATGTCGTGACACAGTTCCTTTAGTAACAAAAAAAAGGCCGTAAAACTTTCTCGTTTCAACAATCAGCAGCACCGCCCAACTTAATGTAACCAATCATGATAGTAAAACTATACCTTGGTGCAGATCACACATCAGATGTCTGTTCATCTTGTCATCTAACTTAAGAAGTAGTTCCAGCTACAGAAACAAAAATATTGCAAAATGCATTCAATGCTTCGCGGGCATAGAATAGGATGAGGCCCTATGGCATAGAACATCTCCAAAACGCTAAAAATTTCTCACCCAATGACTTACTAAGCCCATTTGATCATATTCATCGTTATTGGTATTCGAGATTCACATTCACATTTAGACTTCAGATTCTGTGATTTTCATGTTTTGTGCTATCTCATTTTATCTAATGACAACAATGCACGCGCAAGTGTACTTAATAATTCCAGCGTACCGTAAGCTTACAGAAAAATCCTGAAAAATTATCGCAATACTTGTTTTAACTGTTCAGAGCAAACTCAAGCTTGCCTAGACAAAAAAGATCAACATTCAGTTTTAACGCACATAGTAAGTTCTATGCATACTAGCAAGCGTGGTTGTTATGTTACGATGAAAGTATTGTAGATAAATAAACGGAAATGTTACCACACATTTCACTACCTGGTCTTGCTGTTTTCCATCGCCACAGTCCTGAGTTTTAAGTTTGATTTGACATTTATTTATGACGAGCTGTAAACGCCAAAAAAATGTGAAGAATAGAGTTAAGGAGAATTTTTATTGTCAGTGTGGGGCAATTTTCACGTTCGTACGAATGCAAACCTAAACTGGCTTAACGAGCGCAAATAAAGTTACGTTCACACAATCGTTCACACGGGCATTAACGGACGAATTTTCGACTGGATGAAAACTTTGACCGGACCGTGACTTCGTTCACACCGGACCGTTCAATATTTTCGTTCTGTTCACACAAAAAGTTTTAACAGCTAGGAGTCTAAGTTTTGGCTCGGTTAAGGTGGTTCCGAGGCTCAGTCTCCAGCCTTGGGTGTCTCGTGTTTGAGCTACAATGTAAAAGTCTTCAGCATTAGGTCTGTGCGGTCATCATGTCGGACCGCGGACAAATTTTTGTTTGGCATTATCTAACGACCGACCACTATTCGAAGCTCTACCTAAGGGTGAACGCAAAAAAGAGGTCGACTGAGTTTTGGAGTGTGCAGCGGGAGAAGCGCGAGGGCAATAAAAAATAGCAGAAGGGAGGGGTAGGAAAGAAGACTTCCGTCCCCACCCCTTCCCAGTTCAATTGTTTTTTCCTCCTTTTCACCTATCCCCTTGAGAGTGTGAATTGCTTCTCCCACTTTAGTAAAACTATAAAAGGGAACGAAAACCACTGCTACACAGGCTAGAAATTTGTTTTCATATAATTGCTGTAGCACTAACCACCCTCCTGGTTTCTTCTTCATACTGATCATCATTCTCACTAAGTACTGATTCCACTCCTTCAGGTGTAGTTGGTCTGAAAACATAAAGCAAAGCAAAGATAAAGCGAAGATCAACAACTGCATAAGTCCTTCGATCTTCAGGGGATAGTGCAATAGAGAGAAGTCGTTACGTCACGTTGCCATGGTAGCAAAATTTCTGGACGACAACAAACCAAAAACGTCACTTAAAAAGTGAATTTGCACTGTTTCAAACTTCATTAATTTTATTCAATTTCATTTAATTTGTCAAATGTTCGCGAAATGTCCGGGTTGAATCCCAAAGGATGGTATCTAAGTTTACAAAAAAGAAAAGAATGTTTTTGTTGTGTTCACCTACTCTATAAAGCGGGCGCGTGAAATTAGCAGGTGTTAGATCGCAGTCGTGCAACAACGGCTAAGAAATGTACCAAAAAAGCGTCGGATGCAGGTGCAAACTTGTTGTTTAACTAATCTAAACCGATTTCTTTTTTGTCATTCTCGTTGCTGTCGCCATCGTCCTTGCTTAAACTCCTTTTTGTTGTCATCCAAAAATTTAGCTCCCATGGTAACGTTACGTCACACTTATCCTCTCCGTTGTTTTCATTAATACTTATCCAATGTCTAGTGGTTTATCCAATGGAGAGCGCTGTCCAGATTTTGAACACCTCGGGCCTTGACAAGGGCCTGAGACCATATTCACCTGGTAAGTTTTTTATTTTCCTAATGTGGTGTACAGTCAAATCTGTATTAAGCGATCACAATTGGGGGAATTGCTTACCGGCCGCTCAATACAGGTTTGACAAACCTAAGGGTTATTCAAGAAAATCAAAACGGTGAAATAGCGAAATATCTCTCCCAAGAACAATTAACCTCAAACCGTCTCTACCACTTCTTGGCGAGAAGAAAGGAAGTAAAAGACCACTAAACGATCTATTAGAGCCATTAGAGAATGCAATATCTCATATTCTCTATGCTCATTCCTGCGATTACTGAGCGCAAGTGTAATCAGCTGGATAGGAATATTCTAGCGCTGCCAGTTCGCTCGGTTGGCCTGGGCCGTGGAAACCCGTCCCTTGAAGCAAGGCGCGAATATGCTTTGTCTGTCAAAGTAACAAAGCCCCTTGGTATCTCAGTCACATCAGTTACCTGAAGATTCCCTCACAAAACTAGCACAACAGGAAGTGAAAGATTAAAGGAACTCGATTACAGGGCAGAGCGTATTAAGGAGATGGCACCAAGAAAGATTTAGCGAGCATTAGATCTGGCGACAGAAAAGGGATCATCAGCATGGCTTACAGTGCTTCCCCTCTAGGATTTGGGCTTTAACCTGAATAAGAGGAAGTTCCGTGATGCTGTTAAACTACGCTACGACAGACCAGTAGAAGATATCCCCTCCACACGTGCTTGTGGGGAAGCCTTTACGGTTGATTACTCTATGATTTGCAAACTAGGAGGTTTTATTACTCAACGCCACAACGAGCTAAGAGATCTCATAGCTGAATTTCTGAGTATGGTGTGTAGCGATGTCGAGATCGAGCCCGTACTTCAAGACATCTCCGGCGAACATTTAAACAGAGGATCTAACAAGCCTCAGGATGCGAAGTTAGATATCCACGCGCGTGGTTTCTGGGAGTGACATCGATCATCATTCTTCGATGTGAGGGTCTGTCACCCTAATGCTGTATCGTAGAGGGACCTAGAGCCACAACAAATTTATCGTATCCATGAGAACGAGAAAAAGTGTCTCTACTCAAAGAGAGTCCTGAACATCGAGCATGGAACATTTACACCTTTGGTCTTCACCACAACTGGCGGAATGGGAAAGGAGTGCTTGATGTATCATAGCCGTTTAGCACAGCTAATTGACATCAAAAAAAGGGAGCAGTATGCCAAAACTATCTCATGGATCAGAACCAGAACCTCATTGGCACTCTTGAGATCTGCGTTGGTTTGTCTTAGAGGCTCTAGGACAAGAAGAGTGCCATGTGACATTAAGAATGTTCATATTGACGTCGAAGTTGTTGAAGGAGCCATTCAATCGGACTGTTGATAAGTTTCCTTACTTTTAAATGGCAAATATTCGTCAATAACGCATTCAGAACGCTATTTAATTTTCCTCTTTTTTAGTGATTTTCTTAGTAAGAATGCAATTGACCTTGAAAATAGACTTTTTTTTTAAATCGAAATGGATTGTGTTAATCGAAATGAAATGTTTTTAATTCGAATATATTTTTTTAAGTAAAAAAATTGTTTTCTAATGAAAACTAAGTGTTTTTTTTTAAAAGAAAGGAATCGTAAATAGCGTTTTGACGGAACAGTTTTTCAAGTGAATTAATTGTGAATAGGATTTTAATAGTTCTGTTAGCATTGTTATCAATAAAATATGTTAAAAAAAGACCACTTAACGCAATACTCATGTGTATACATTGCACTAGTATGTCGAAGTATGATACATCTTGTCAAAGTGACCGTTTAACAGAGGTGAAGACAATACAAAAAAATTCGATGGGACCTCGGAAAAGGTGACTGCCTAATACAAGTAAGTTCGAAATGGCAGGTTTGTAGAGGGTGCCTGCTTCATAGAGGTTTGACAGTAAATCAATAGGAATTTACAAACCGTTGTCTTGGTCTCGACTCTTTTCTTTGCTGCATTCCAGTCAGTGGAAAAAGACCATTTCTAGCCAATGGAAAAAGTGTTTGTTTTAATTACAAAAGAATCATAGACACATGAAAATTAATACGTCCAACAACAAATACGATTAAAGGAGAAATTTTCCCTTCAAATCAAAAGCTATCCAAATGCCATCACCATTAAGTCCAAATCTCAAGTCAAGCAAGTCTCGATAATGGGAAGGGTGACGATAATAAGGCCAGTTCTTCTGCCCCCACCCACCTCCGAACACCAAGCTGAGTAAACTTTATTGTAGATGCATGTCATCTCTCTAGGCATTTTGGTCGCTACTGACAAAAGGACATCTTCAAAGTTGTGAGTTAGAGTCATGGAACTACATAGTATAACAAACGAGTACTGAAAATCTTGCAATAGATATTACTTTCCAAATGATAACTCTCGAACATTAACATAATGTATTTTCTATCTGATCACCCACCTAACTTCTTCCAGATACTTTTCAAGCTCAAGTGCTGGAGCTTTCCCTCGCCTGCAAAACATTAAGGCAACATCAAAAACGTGATAAGATTGTTTAGTCGTGTTTTTTAGTAATCTAAATTTAACCTTCTATATTGTAAACTTAAAATTGTTAAAACGTACTCTTCGGACATAAAAATGTTGAAATGACAGTGTACCTTATACTTTCCATAATGTAAAAATTTGTTACTTTTTTTAATTAAATGAAAGCATCATGATGAAAGATTTTGCCACAAACGCATGTTGATGGAACTTTAAATCACAAATAACATGATAAAAAGTATCTTATCTTGTTCCAAATAACAGTTTAAATTACATGTTCTTGATACTCCACTACTCAGCTTTTCAATCAATACAAAAAGTTATTACGGAGCTTTTACATCGACGACGACAACCGCGACGGCAGCGAAAAATCAGTTCAATTTTAAAATGAATTCAAGTTTTTCACAAACTTTGTCGCGTCTATTTCAATTCGCGAAAAAAGTCAAATGGAGGCGAATTTCCCTGGAGTTGATTTCTTGAGAACCGCATTCAAGTTTAGAAAGAGATAGAAAAACTCGTCGTCGTTTGTTCACGTCCTCCATAAAAGTGATGTTACACGAGACGATTCGCAACGACGATTTTTAGCGCAACACAGCGTTGCAACATTGTTTCGAATAACTACAACATTGTTCCAACATTGGAACCCTGTGTTGCGCAATAAATCGTCGTTGCGAATCGTCCGGTGTAACATCACCTTAAAACGTGAAATTAGGGATTTTCACGTCGTAGTCGTGCAGTGACGGCAAAGGAATATACAAGAAAACGTGATGCACGTGCAAAGTTGTTGTTTTTCTTAATAAATCTAGACAGCTTTTTTAAAGTTAACGTTGTCGTCGCCTTCGTCGTTACTAGAGTTCCCTATTAATTGTGTTTTATTGTGAGGGAACGAAATGAGAATATCTATCATACTTCCAATTCTTTTTACTCCCATCTCTAAATTTTAGAACAGCCAGCACTCTTTCTGGGTCAGTGTCTTCACGATTGTCTGGAGGAGCAACTAAAAAAGAAAAAACAAATTTGACATTATATCAATACGCATTACAAGTCAGCAGTGTTATGAACAAAGTAATGCATTTCATAAAGTATTAGTTAAGGCTGTATTCTCGACGCTAAAGTATTTTAGTATTTTTCACCTATTCCGGTCATAAGCCACACCGGATATAAGCCCCTCACTTTATAAGCTCTTTTAAAACCCCTAAGGAAGCTGTATATGAAGATATTATGAGCGGCAGTTAACGGTATTCGCGTCCGATCTGTTAGCCAAACTGATCTCCATACATTTCTTTGAGAAATAAGTTGAGAGATCAAAGCATTTTCCTTTTGGTGAATCATTTTCTTTATTCTCATAACTTTTTCTCTTGATTATGTATTCATACTGCGGGGAGAAAAATTAAGTTGTTCACTCTTGGAACTATACACGGGTTAAACCATGAAGAAATTTGTAACTCTTAAGTCATAATACCATCGCTGTCCACCATACAATGAGCTGCAAGCAACCTGAGCGAATGGACCTACAACAAAATAATGAACAAACAAAACCTAGTCATTACTGATTTAACAGCATTTTCTAAACACATAGCTGTATATGTATATCGCCATTATTACTTACTACGACAAAATCAAATAACAACTAAAACCTCCCGAATGAATGCCATTCATCCTCTGTGGGTATTTAGGTAGCACACTGTTAATCTCCATAGTATGCATACAGTATGTTCGCCAGTCCATCATGTATGTTCAGGTTAAAATTTTCTAACCTGGGTTGATTCTCAATTTCAATGGTCTCCTAGCACCAGCTATTCATGAATTAAGGCTAGGAGACAAAGAAAATTGAGAATCAACCTAAGTTAAAAAATTTTAACCTGAATTTAATTTTGACCTGTAACATATGCATAAGTGTTATCACACAATTTTATATACATCAGTTTTTCTGATGTATAAATTAGGAAATACACATGTACCGATCGAGGTTTCAACTGTTTAAAGCAAAACTTTCCATAGGGCATTGAACTATATAGTTTTCTATTCCAGTTAGGGATGGAAATACAAGGATAATGATGTTTCTTAAAACAGAATGATGTGAAAAATGTAAAAACCGATCTAGAGCAGGTAGAAGCCAGTTATTTAAATCTAATTGTCTACATTTCTGGATGGCAATGAACTGTTGTCACCAAAAGCTTCTTTTTGCACAACATTAGAGATGAACCCTCTACTCAATGGAGAATATCCACATCCTTGTCATCCAACTGGCAAATAAGGGTGCCCCGTCCACCCTGGAATAAGTGCTTGTTTGAGAAATAACACGCATAAAAAAGCTGTAAGCTAAAAGTATCATATATATCAGAACCTCAAACAAACTGGGATGTAGTAGCAAATCTCTTGCTGTGGGTCGATCTGCAGGATTTTCAGCTAAACATCTCCGTATGAAATCCTGTCAGAATGAACAATTTGCGGAAGAAAATGTCAAACAAAATATAATAATAACTTCATGATTAGAAAATTTGTCCAACAATGGAAATTGCATGAAGATTTAAACACTTTCTTATGATTATTATCACAAAAATTTAACAGTTGCATAGGGTTGGGTTCTAGCAGTGCCCGGTCGCCCCTGGCATCTAACTTTTGCACCAGGCGACTAGAAAATCTTAGTTTTTTTTCATAGAAATTCACATGATGGGCATGCTGGGTTTCACAGGTTCAGAGCGCTGGACTCCCTTTGCATTACATAAAGCATTGTACTGAATGCAGCCCTCTTACATGTAGCTAAAAACAAGCCAAACAATAATTTTTGAGACACTCGCTGACTCGCTGACATTCTCTAGTAGCACATATTTCTTGTTTCAGCATTTTAAACTTAAAGGTGATGTTACACTGGACAATTTGCAACAACGATTTTTAGCGCAACACTGCATTACAGCATTGTTGCAGCATTGTTTTTAAATGGTTTCAACATTGTTCCAACATTAAAATGCTGTATAGCACTTAAAATTGTGGTTGTGAATTGCCCCATGTAACATCACCTTAAGTGAAGTGTCCAGCACAATAACACAAAGCCTCTTGCTGCTTGGTTAAAAGTGTCTGTTGTCACATGCATGGACAGTACCTTTTGAAGTGGTTGTTCTAATCCTTGAATTGCTTTGGTGATATTTTCTTTCAGCACAGGACCTTCTATGTCATGCAGTTCTAGGGCTGCCATCTACAATATGAGAGACGAAATGAGGCATTGGCCATCTATTTAGATTCATAAGTGAGCCACTGGATGCCTACAGTGGTTGATCAGGCCCTTTTTTTCGACAGAATGAAGCAAATTGGTGTTTTGCCTCTCCTTCACGCATGAGACACTGAGCCTTTGCCGCATAATAGTGCTACATCTTGAACCAGTGACCACGTTCACTTTATTTCCAGCATCCACAGACAGTAAGGTTGGCACAATATTGTGACTCTTCATAGGAAAACATGGCTTATCAAACATTGCAAACTGGGTCAAACCGGGTTTTCTTTCAAAGACCACAACCTGAGGTCTGCACAGCAGCTTACTCTAAAAATTCTAATAGGTAAATAAATAAAAGTTATTAATATTATTCCACCAAATCATACCTCAAGGGCACACATTCCAAATGCATATATATCAACAGCACAGTCTATAACATGCCCAGGTTTTCCTAAAAATGAACATAGAGGATATTACATGGCCACGCGGAGATACAAAATTTCTCATGTAATGTTTTTTTTATTATATAAAAATCAATGAAATACCAAACCATTCCACTATGATAGTTTTTTTGCTGTGAAAGGTGCGATTTATCATGGAGCTATAACAACGGAGATCTTTTCACGTGTGAAGATAACATGTTATTTTAACATGTGAAGATATCATGTTTTCACGTGAAAACTCACCTGGTATTTCATTGGTATTTATTTAACAGGGTCCGAAATTAACTTTTTAATACGAGCGCCAACTGGCGATCAAGTATAAATTTTTGGTCGCCAGAGGGCAAATTGTGGTCGCCAAAAATTCCCCCTCCCTTATTTTCAAATAAAAGTTTAAACACGAATAAAAAATGCATGGTATGGACGTTTTTGTGCTTAAAAATGGCAATACTTCCGCTCCCGATACCAGAAAGAAACCGTACTTGTATGAGTGAAGTCTCATTTTTTCCACAAATTACTTTTTGGAGATATACATGTAAAGCCATCTGATCTAGAACGTAGGAACAGAAAGCTGTCTGCCCATGACTGCACCGGATCATATCAAAACTATTTTCTTCCAATAACTACCACGAAACAATCCACAAAACAACCACAAAACATAGCCGCCATGTTGCTCGTACCAGGCCACATTTTTTTGTGCCACATTACTCGTAATGGCGGCTTGGAAACGTTCAACTCGTATTGATAGTAGCTGCTGTGGAGGTATTATTGCAGGAAGCTTCGTTTCACTTTTAATTAAAAAATATCAGCAGGAAAAAAAGTAAGACACCTGTTGGCAAATAGCTTCGAGGTTTCAATTCTCCGAACGTTTAAGTCCACAATAACAACCAGCTTTACAAGTTGCTAGCTGGCGACCAGCTATGAAATTCTGGTCGCCAAGACTGAATTTTTAGTCGCATTGGCGACCAGGAAGGCGCAATTTCGGACCCTGTTTAATACATTGTAATTATGTCATCCAGTGTCATTCAGGTGGCTAAACATAAGAGTTTCATGATACTTGACACATCTACAGTACATACCATACTCAGGAGCTATGAAGTGCATGTTGCGTCTTTCATCTCTGTAAGTCTTCACATGGGTATGAATAGTGTCAGGAGCCACTGGGAAAAAATTTTTAAAAAAAGTTGCTTTCAGCCCCTTAATATCAATAAGGGTAAAAACAGTTTAACATATTAAGGCGCCTACAATAGACCTTTTTAGTGATACGGCAGCCATATTGAATTAATTGGATTTAAGGAGTATTATGGGATGCCCAGGGGATATGAGCACAATCCGATATACGGGTAAATACGGTACTCACATCAGTATTTACGCATGCTTTTCGGGCCAATTTTTCTTTAAGTTTTCGTAGAAAAAGATTGTAAATAATGGGAAAAAAAGATCATTGTGCCGTGTTTGGATGTAATAATGATCGCCTTTTTCCCGAGAAATATACATTGAAGTTCTCTTCTGCCCCAAAAGCGCACGTAAATACTGAGCGAGTGCCCCCTGGGCATCCCATAATACTCCTTGAAATCTAATAAATTAAATATGGCTGCCGTTTTGGTAAAAAGGTCTATTGACAGAACTAGCTGGCCAAACCAGAGAAGTCTAAAGAGAATTGGAAGACTTCCACTATTAATCCAGACTATCCAGCCAGATCAGCCTATTCCTAGAAATAGCATGCACGGCAGAGAATGGCTTTGAGCAAAGACTTTGAGAACAGACTTTCAGTTCAAGGCTGTGCTCTAGCAAAGCCCAGAGGTCCCTGGCACCTAACTTTTGCTCTCAGCGACCAGAAAATCTTACATTTTTCATACAAATCATATGCTGGGCACCTTTGATTATCCAGGTTCAGGTTCCCTTCAATTTTCCTTAGAGCATAGCCTTGCAGTTCAAAATGACCAGTCAAGCCAGGCCATTCTGGCTTATAGCAAGTACCCTTAGTTAATGAGCAGGAAAAAGGGTATGTGGTGTGAGTAATCTCTGGCTCTTGTTGGGATATCAGCATTTCATAACTGTGGTTATGATTGTTTTAAGCACATGGTTAGGTTGCTAGTTGGGTAGGCAGAGTGTGATATATCACCTGGGGTCTTTAGATCCCTCTTAAAGTGACAAACTGACCTGAGCCTATTTTGATAAGTCCATTGTGCTGGATAAATATTGTATCACATGATAAGTTCCCATGGACAATAGGGTTTTCACAACCATGAAGATAGCTGAAGAGATATAAGTCAGAAGAAAGCATTTATAAAAAAAAAATGCTTTGTTTCAAACTAACCTGAAAAGGCTACTGTATTGACTAGGGAAATTGTAAGGATACTACGAATGATATTTGATATTCCCTTAGACATTAAATTAAGTGGATCAGTTGATGTTTTTAAATCTAGATTGAAAACTTATCTTTTCAGACTTGCTTTCATTTGACTTTTTGTTTTAGTGTTATTGTTAGTTAGTTATTTTCTTTTTTGACTGTAAAGCGATATAGAGCTTTTGTATATACCGCTATACAAATAAAGTTATTATTATTATTATTATTATTATTATTATTATTATTATTATTATTATTACGAAAGCAAATAGTGAGATTTTGAAACACCGTTAGGTTATAGTTTAATACCAGCCGCCATTCTGGAGAGGGACAGGTTCATACACTTTGGCCATACATGGTGCATGATTTGTTAAAAATATTAGAAATACAAGTTTGTAAGAAAATGGTGGCTCTTTGTCTGTAAGGATACTTTGATGGGGGGTTGGGGGGGAGGATGTTGGACAGGGATTTGTTTTAGTACTGGTGGAAAATCTTGGGATTCTACATGGTGTTGCCTTCCAGGGAAGAAGAACTTCCTTTGCCCAACTGAGCTCAGTTAATGAAAGTCGCATTCAACACACAAATTAGCTGACTTATTTTTCATCTGGCAGGCAGTTGTTAAAGGCTATAATAAAAAGCTCATGCCTTGCAGTTACCTTAGAGCTGACAAAATTTGCCTCAACCACTTTTTCCAAACCTGTAAAGGAAACAGTTTGATAAGAAAGAGAGAGACCCAATGACTTTAGTATAACACTGAGTGAACAAATTAAACTGTGAATTAATACAATGTAAGTTTTGCTGTTAACCTTTTCATTCAATGTTTTGTAATTACTCTTCCTCGTCTTCTTCAGGAACTGTTTCAGTGAACCAGATGTCATGTATTCTGTGATGAAGATGACACGTGGAGTTTCAGATCGAGCGTCGGTCCAAAACTTGTGAAAGTTCACAATGTTTGCATGCTATAAAAGAAAGCAAAAAACAAAGGTTGGCTTTCTTTTGTTCGCACCATTTGGGGTTTCAGTAAGTGCTGATGACCAACGAAATGCATCGGTTACTTTTCTCAGAGAAGTTGGCTACTTTTTTCCTTGAAAGAAGTAGCAAAAAATATAATTATCATAAAATCTGAATGAAAACATAACGGCCCATTGGTTTTGTGATATGCTTTACTTATGCAAACGCTGTATTTCAGTCAAAGGGAGAATTTGACATGAAACTGGGTCACCTAATAATAATAATAAAAATAATAATTTATAACTTTATTTCTATAGTGCTCTTATCCTATGTTCAAGGCACTTTACAGTCATGTAAAGAACATTATTGATAAATATTTACAAATTTACAACCATATCCTAATTATATTTACAATGAGTAAAAAAAAAGGAAAAAATTAAAACTAAAGCAACTATTAAACTATTTTATTTATAATGATTAAAAAAGGGGAAAAATTAAAACTAACACAATATATACAAATCAATAGAAAAAATGATCCTAGGTCATCAACCCAGTGTTGTCTAGAATTTATTCAGGTAATACTACATACATCCAGCTGAATCAGGTTTTCAAAGACAGCTTTAACAGTGTCCTAAAGAAAAATAAAGAAACCATTTACAATAGGCAAATGACACAAAAAATACATTATTCTAAGCTTTGAGGTAGTTGATCTAAATTAATATTGATAATAGTCCTAGGGTACGAGGCCGTAAAAATGATAGAAAATTGGCACAGAGGAGCGTCCACAGGATTTAAGCACCAGTATGCACAGCAAAAACACACATTAAAAACAAATTGTACCTCTTGGCTTTTAAATGATTTTCTCTCAGAAAATTGCACTTCATTCCAAACCACCTCAACTCCTTCCTCAGTGTCCATAGCAAGGAAAGAGTGATCTATGCCAGGAACATCTCGCTGCATCACCTACAGATAAAAAACAAACATAACAATAATAATAATTTTTAGTTTTTAATATATCCATAAGTCGAGCTGAAGCCGTTTAACTTACCATAATACTGTTTAGTTTTTAAATTAATAATTTTCTGTCCCCAAATCATGTCTTAAAATAATCAGAAAAATATATTATTATCCGCATTATATAGCCTGCTCCATGAGCAAGTAACAGGAAGGAAATCTTGTGTTCTGATAGGGTAACCAAGCAGGCAAGATGGCCCATCTTGCAAGCTCAAGGCTGTGTTCTAAGAAAAACTGAAAGGAGCCCAATGCTCTGAACCTGTGAAACCCAGAGTGCCCAGCATATGGTTTTGTTAGAAAATACTAAGATTTTCTACTGGGTTTGTACCCTTTTTTGAACAAAAAGTTCAAGGACTTTTCAAGGACTTTTAAGGACACATTTCCCATTTTTCAAGGACTCCATTTAGTGCAAAAAAGACTCTCGAGTCTGCATCTTCTTTAGTTCTTGCAAAACGTGAGCAATTTTATCCTGAATGTCTTTCCTGCGTTAGGCACTTAAGAAGTCAAGACTTATGTTTTTGATCAAGCATGCGGTCAAGATGGTTAGATATTATAGACTGAGGCAAGGTTGAGGTCAATAAAAATGTATAAAAGAACGAGGCCAATATCCAGCTTTCTTGACCAAACAAGCTTGGTTAATAAATGACGTTTTATTTGGCCAAAAAGAGAAATTTTTTCTCGTGGGACTAACACAGGAAATCCCAAGCGGGGACGATGGGGCACTCAGGTAGCCAATCAGAACACAGGATCTGCTTCATCTTACCTGCTTGCAGATTCAGACACATAACAAAGCTGAACATTGGCCATGCTCCTGTTTTTCCTTAACAGACCTCAAATTCATCCCTGATCAATCCAGCCATCTTGACCTCTTGGTTGGTCAAATAATGACACTACATACTGAGGTACTTCTTTTTTAGACTTTCTATAACACTGCTATTTTTGCCTTACATTTGGCCGTTTAACTTTGAAACAAAAAGGCCATAGGAACTTTGAAACAGATGTATGTGCTCCCCCTAGCTAAATAAGCTTAGTTTAACAATAACCTCTTGCCGTCTCTTCTCCCATCTTCCACAAGGGCTCTGCTCAACCACATCATCAACATCATCATCACTTTCGTCTCCAGAATGTTCATGTTGAACCTCTTTTATTCCAAGTGCAATATTGCCAGCCATTATTTTACTTCACTCACAGCGAACTGTGACACTTCTCTCAGACATGGCCGACGACGGAAGAAGAACGGTCAAGCAAAATTTCAGAGATAGCGAGGACTGGGTATGAGTTTGGGTACATAACAATAATCATATATGACATATGTATTATTTACATCCGCTGTCCAACATCTCATGGCTGGCTCATGTTCCGAAGGTTGTCCCCTTTCCTCCCCTTTCCACAAATGATGATGGTATTTATATGAATTTTTTACATCGAACAAGCAGCGGAAAGACGAGGATATTTTCAGTGATACAGGGCTGTACATTGTCTCTTGTCAGTCGCACAAGTAAGTTTTTGTTCTCGCTTTGCAAAAAGGGATAAGTCATGTGTTCCTTGCAGTGCAACTTTTGACGGTGTCGATTTCGCTTTCACCTGGTGGTGTCATGTCAAACGGCTTGCAAGCGTTATCTTGTTATACAACAGATGATCTCGTGATCTATAAAACTTTTCAGTGAACGTGGGAATTAAGTAAAGTACAGGATTCATTTTGGCGAAAATGAGCCTTTGTGTTTATAGCAGGGAAATACCGCATGACAAATCTGATATAAACCCTTTGCACGCAGAAATTTTTGTAAGTTAAAGGCAAGACAGTTCCTTTCTGTGATTTTTGTTTAAGTAGCCTCCGGTAGAGTCAACGTTTGAGTAGTGGGTGTTGAGAGGTTTTTAAAGGCGTTTTTCTTGTAGAAATGTTCTAGAGGAACAAACAAGCTTAATTATAATATGTAAGCTTATATAATTAAGGATAAAAATAGACAATAATAGAGAAAATTTAAAATTAAACCAGCCGTAAATTTGAACCACAACATATGTATGGTCTGTCATCTGACAAGGCTCAAAGTTAATTTTGGTCTTTGGGAGTACTTGAGGTACCAGGTCTAAATTAGGTTTAAACAAGATGATACATGACTTGTATATTTCAAGCAACATGTTCCTCCAAAATTATTCACAAATGTAGCAATGAACTAAAACTTTTTTGGTGTCAGTGTTTTCTAAACAGTCCAAGTAACTGAATGAGCTTGGGCTGTGCAGTGCGCTTGAATAAGCTTCTGTTGTTTGGTATAATACCAAACAACAGTTTTCTATAGCAGTGTATTCATTGTAGTTCCTTTTTACGTGTTCTGAAGTTGAAGTTTAAAATAATATTCGTAGTATTTTGTCGATCTTTCAAGCAGATAAAAACAAGAACCCCCCTACAGCAGCACCATTCTCGCTTGCTTGGAGATTAGATTGACAAATGATGAGGCGATTAATTCTACACGAAACAGCATTTACTTGCTGAAGGTTTTTTACTTCCTTCTTTATCAAAGTCGATACAGTTTATTTGCTTCTGAATTGATTTAGAACGTGTATTAGTGATGATCGGAAATACATGCATATCTGCGGTCACAGGGTATACGCGTGTATGGATACATGAAAATTCAAGGGCCTCAATTCCAGAGAAATTACATCACTGCCAGAGATCAAAAAAAGTGATTTACATGGCACATCATTTCAATAATTGCCAAAAATAAACGACATGCTCGTCACAAGACCCATTTGCCTACAATGAAAGTTTACAACACCCGACCATTGCAGTTTTGCTAATGAAGATTCTTATTTTTTTCCGACCACTCAGTAGTGTTCACTTGTTCCAAAGAAATCAACGCTTTTAAGCGACAGCATTTGTGGACCGACACGTTTTGGAAAAGCTCTGAATTTAATCTTTCCTAAGCTTTCTTCGCAAAACATGCATGGCTTCGATCACACAACGATTCTTAGTCCCAGTTTCCACGGTCTCTGCAAGGAACACCTGGCACAATCAGTGATTCAGATCCGTGAAAAAGTGTTAAGGACAAAATTAATGTCCTAAAGGACTGAATTTTCTTAGGACATTTTTAGTTTTTGTCGAACGCTATTTTGTTTTCTTATGACCGAATAGATGAAAATTAGACTTAAAAATACTTACACATGTAAAAGGTCTAGGAGACTTATTTCTTTTGTTAATATCATTGCCAATGCATGACCACATTCAAAATGAATAATATTATACTCTTTCAAGTTTGAAGTTTATGTTTCCAGAATGAGATGTTAAGATATTTTGTTTTTGTCTTTCCTTGCCTGTTAAACATAGAGTGGATATTTTTAAAATAACAAACAAAGCACCAAAAAATATATGTTCAAATGTGCGACTTTCATAACAAATAAAAATCGTCACAGCAAGGATGTTCTTATGTTAGCCAAACATACTCACATAAACTGCACTTCATGCTGTTGTTTTCTTGATCATAATCCAGCCATGGGTTGCTTTTTAAGCCAACACGACTGGAAATTTCATTTAGCTTTGACGGCAACTACTTTTGTTGGATCGTCAACGTCATTCAAATCTTCATGAGCAACTTGCGTTGTTTTGCTTTCTTTATCAGATTTGACTTTGCACTGCTGTCTTCATTTGAAAAAATATGGCAAAGGTTTTTGGCTGTTTTCAGCCATAATTAAGGTCTTTCGTTCACATAGTTCGCTCGAAATAGAATCAAAGATGGTGCCCGCATTATAACAAGTGTACTTATTGGCTTTCATCTGACTAATCACACGCACTGTGAGATCTTTGTAAAATACATCCAAGATGGAGGTGGTTGTGTTGTTCAGTGCACAAATTGCAGCTCAAACTAGGGATGTTTTCACTATATGGAAGATTGTACCCATCTATAACATTTATCAACAACCACAAGACAAATTTAGAGTATTTCATATTTTATTTTCATTTTGGACATTTGTCATAATTTAGGTAAATTTGTTCGGACAAATAAAAATTGTCTCAGACTATGTCCGAAGACTGACGTGGATCTTAATCCCTGCACAAAAGACGACGAAAAACAGGTTGCAGATTATGAGTCTTGCTGCTTAGGCAAGTGAGACTAATAAGCAGACTTCAATTGCGTGCTAGGCAACAATTAATGTAATATTATTATAGCAGCTCACTTCACCAAAGTTTATTTCAAACTAAGCACATGTGTTCTTTCAATGCAGGAAAATAGTGGTCAAAAAAATTAAAACACACTAATTTTATTTGGGTCGTCACACAAGCTGGGACAATGCATGCTTCTCCATTTAGTTGTTTACGGTTTATTTCTAGCAGATCAAATTTGACCAGTCATTTCAAATGATAAAAATTACAAGATAAAATTATAAATAGATAAATGAACATGCAAAAGTAATTTTATTTTATTTTTACTATACTATGGACCTAAATTATACCTTCCTTTGAATAGATTGTATTTTGCCTTTTCTTGTTTCTTGAGATTAGAATGCATTGGTACTGCGATTCAGTCACACAGAATTTTAGTTGTTGTAGTCATGCCAGTGTCCTTATACATGTTTACATGCATCTAATATCTAGTCACAAATATGTGTATGTGGGTCCAACTGTCTGTATGAAGAAAGGAGTTAACTTTGAGGAGTGGAAAGCAGCTTTTTGAATTTGTGATTCCTTGACAAGTCGTCAAACCTTTTATCCTTTGTCTCCAAGTATCAGAGTCAGATTAGAAAATTATCCTTGAAGCAATTTTGAAAAAAACTTATGCAAAATATTTTTTAGCAGTTGTTTACTCCATTCATGTCACGTGGGGGCTTTGGTGAGTGGCGGCCACCTACATATGGCTCACAATCATCTGGTATTGTCGGTGTAAGCTACGGTCACCCTTCATCGAGATATCAATATGGCGGTAAGATATTTTGCTGATTTCATCAAGTTATTGCCAGAGTAATAGGTCGAGTTGCATTTCATATTTCATCAAGTTGACACAAAATCAATCAGATTCTTTAAGCCACTAACGGTCCCCAACTTTGCACATGAAAATGCACATGAAAAATATTCCTTATTCGAAACAATGTCACCATTGGAATATTATGGTGTTCAATTTCAAAGTGGAATTTTGATTCCAGTAATCAAATCCATTTGGGATTAATGAAAGTTAGTCCTGAATAATAAGTGAAACGTACTGAGTATTTTGACTGTATTTGCCTTAAGTTTGCCATTTTATTCACTTCAGGTGGAGAGAGATTTCAGAACCTCAGTGATAATGTCAGCAGTAACATCTTCCAGATTAACAGTAACAGTAAGTATGTTACTAGTTATGCTATCGCTAAGTGCCAATGAGCAAAAGTTTTTCCTTTATGCGCACTGTTCAATTTGTTTAGAAATATCATGAATTACCAGTAATTTATGAAAAATAGATTGAACTTAATTCAATTGCATAAGCGAAAATTACCTTCAAAATAGTGCAAGCAAGGGGCACACATACACCAACCCATGCATACCTACAGCCATATCACACGGGCAGTGGCAGCAGTGTTCTCACCAGGATTTTGCCTTGGGGAGTCCTAGGGCCCCCTCTTCTGAGAAATAGGGGCCCTGTAAGAACATTAGGGGGACAAAGTTACAAAAAACACGCAGTGCGAAGAACCTGAGCCCGCACTCCAAATTGTCTGTTACATGAAGTACCTACCTGATCCAATATGGCGGAAGAGATGTTTACAATTCGGAGGAGGAGTTTACGATGTAGTGGGACGTGCGTGGGACCAATGAAAGTAAAGGCAACAAAATTAAAGACTTTGACTCATTTGATATCATGTTTCAAACAGAATGCTTTAGTGTCAGGTTGACCATTAAAACTACTTAAGTCCGTTTGACTCGTAGCCTGCCCCTGCGCCCTAACGGGCACATCTTCTTGGTTTTAATGCAGCATTTCAGTTTTTCTTGCGGGAATCCCGCAAGGCCGCGGCCTGGTGAGAACACTGTGGCAGCCACGGACAGCTGTTTGTCATTTATTAGGGCTCACCAGCATGGCATAGCTGTCAGGTCAATGGACGGGAAAAACCTGTGTCTCAAAGACCCTCTACTGCCACGAGATGAGTGCAAAGCACTCCTTTAAGTGCCACTTCCACACAACACATGTGGGAGCTGTTGGCTGGGAACCGCTAG